TAGACTATTCCAAGGACTAAAATTCAGAAGCAAATTGGATTTTAAGGTATTTGTTTGGTTATGCACCTTCTAGCGCAGCCTCTTTAATATTTATTCATGGCTCTTAAATTACAAAAATAACCTCGTTAAATTTGTCTATATTTCCATTGATATGTCCATGTTTTCATGGGTTTGACATTTCCCTTGCAGTAGAAAAATCGACAAAATATAAAAAATATCAACAAAATGTCACTAATATATACATAATATCAATATTAATTGTTTTTTAACTTATTTAGAAATATGAAAATGTTTATTTGTTAATTTAAATATTTTTTTACGACTTTTTAATTTCTATAACTTTTACATAAATATTCATTGATATCGATATTTCCATAAAATTGAGACCTCGACCTATCGACATCGATATTCAAAACTTTGGTTAATTTATTCAAACCAAGTTCTTTTTCAGATTTGAGATACCACGGAAATTTCACTGCTATAATTTTCTCCTTATTATAATTTCTTTCCTTTCTGTTTGTACTTTAAAAAATCAAAGAGATAAATATTTAACTAGGTTAATTACAACATTACTCTTTTAATAGTACTTCGAATTCGTATAGAAAATATTTGGTTCTTTAGTAGTCATGATCAATCTCTATTCGTACGTCGCTTGCTTATTTAAAATGATAATTCTTAAGAGGTTACCCATTGTTGTTTAGTACAATATGTTGGGGAGAGGATTCAAACTCACAACCTCGTGGTTGGAGGTATATGTCAATTACCGCTGAACTATGCTCTCTTTGGCAAGAGGTTAACCCATTGTTAATATACCTAATTATATTTTTTTAATACAACATATAAAGGTGGAGATTTTGAACTTACAACATTTCGATTGGAGATAGGTGCTTTAATCAAAGGTTACCATTGTTAATATACCTAATTAGATTTTTTAATAYAACATATAAGGATGGGGATTCAAACTCACCACCTTTCGATTAGAGATAAGTGTCTTAGCCAATTGAACTATGCCTAAATTTACCTAATTATTGGAAAATAACGATTAATAATACCAACATTTTAATTGTCAATTTTATATGAGAAGAAACAATTTCAAATCAAGTAATAGTTACTATATGCTGTCAGAGTAAATTTTATGCTTCATGGAGGGGTGGTATATCTATTTCATCAAAATTAAAATATAAAATGTTTTCAACTTAATCAATAAAGTGCATTGTGATATCACACCATTATTTTGTCTGTTAATTATAAAATTTTGTGATAATAAAGACTTAATTTTAAAAGATCATACATAATATTTAATTTAAAAACTCAATATATTATAGGTGAATTAGTGACCGTGCTAAAAAATAAAATTTAAAAGTCTTTGATTTTCTTCTTCTTCTCCCACCCTCCCACAGGTTGTACTTCAAAGAAAAAAAGAAAAAAAAAGTCTAAGATCTACCTATAGAACAATTATTTTACGCGGTCATTTGTTATAGGACAGACATCCAGATCGATGTATTTTTTTTACTTTAATATTGATAGCCACAAGCATTTTTAGATGCACATATGAAAAATATCTTAACAATTTTAGATGCTCTCCTACTCCTACAACATTGATTTTTAAAGGTGCATTTGTGTGGTCGTCTGAAAACATAAATAAAAAAAATGGAAATATATGAAAACCAAAGTTGTATTTTCATGTTTTCAGTGTAGAATGTTTAGTAGTATATGTGTAAAGTAAGGGTAGTTACCAACTAAATATTTAGTTCAATTTAAAATATTATTAACTTATTTATTAACATATATGTTATAAATTTTGTAAAATTATTATTTTATAATATTACATAATTTATAATATATTATATTTTTTATATTTAAAATTTAAAATTTTAAAAAAATCAAATGAATTTATAACATAAAATAATACATTTATCAAGTTTTTACTTTTTAATGTAATTCTACCCTTTAAAATTTAGAATTTAGAATTTATACATAGAATTAAAAACAATTTTAAAAGAAAATTTGCCAATGAGATATTTACTAAAAACAAGAAAAAGAACTCTCCTAATAGTTTCGCTAGAAAAGTCGGAGAAGAACTTATAGAATTTGTAGCCATGTGGAGACTTTTCATTGGATTATTTGGGACCGTAATTAATTGACACGTGACTGGTCGGCGGTGGACTTAGAGTCAACGATGAGTGGGTCACGCAAGGTATTGTCACAGACAGAAAATACACCAAGTCTTTTCTCCTTTTTTTTCTTTCCTTAATTTCAAAAAATATTTCTTAATTATTTGTTTTCTTTTCTTTCTAAAAAAAGAAAAAAAAAAGACAAACTATTTATTTCCTTTGGTTGGTTTTGTTTTGTAAAAATTGTAAAAATCACCCCAAAGCAGAGGGTTGTTACATTTACTCTCAATGGCTTTCAATTTAAACACCTACCCTCCTAAATTATACAATCATTACAATTAAATTCTTAAATATTGTAAAATGAAAAAACTACTCTAGAGCTACGATGATTATTAGAATCAAATTATCAAATTATTTTGTAAGTTTAAAAGGTAATTGATCAAATCGAAAGTTTCGTGGGTATAATTAACATTACCGGTTTAAGCACTAAATGTGACTAGAAAGGGAGAGTAGGTAGTAAGGACAACAGGCTCCCACTCCCCCTTATGTCCACAAAATGATGTGATATTATTCACTTTCATTAATCTTTATGTTTTAGTTTAATTCAAAAAGTCTCGTATCCTACTAATAAAAATAATTGTCATTTGTTTGCACTCCTTAATAATAAGAACATTTATTATGGAACTGCAAAAATAGTTAAAGGAGATTTGGAGCATTGAGTAAATTCAACAAACATTCCTTCACGTTACGCGAAGTAGATACCAACAAAATTTCAAAAACATTAAAGAACAAGTGTGGATAGTTATCCAAGGGTGATGGGAGAAGCTCTTCTCCAATGACAAGAAAGAATTATAATCAAAGTGGTTGCTCAAGTCGTTTTTTAAATGAGGGTAGGAATGGAGAACTAGAAATAATAACAAAAAAATGCATTGGAGGAACTAGAAATATATGTGTCAGAATTATATGAACATAGCTCAACTAGTTAAGATATACCATCGACTAAAAGATTTGAGGTTTAAATATAAGTTTATTTCGTAATATAAGTTTGCTATGCCAATTGTAGCTTCGGATCAGAAACGTTGAGGTTAAAAACTTCCTAATAGAGTAAGGGAGTGTTCTTAAATTAAAAATTGTCGCTATTTATATTTATTTTCCAATATTTTATTAGCAATTTTTTTTACTAGAAATTTAATTAATTATTAATAAACATATAAATTTATGTATTTATATATTTTCCGTAATATTCAAAATTTTAGTGCTTATTTTCTTTTGAAATCAAAGCTTTCATTTAGTTTTTTTAAGAAGGGAAAAAAAGGGAATTTTTTTTAATAATGCTATTTTCGAAAGTAATTACGAAAATATGCCACTTTCCAAACTATTTCCAAAAATAATATCTTGGAAATAACAGGTCTCTTAAGAGACGACCTGTGAAGTGGCAAACGCTGGTTGTCTCGTAGACGACCAGCTAACGTGGCGCTTACAAAGTGCCACGTTAATTTTTTTAAAAAAAATAAGGTTTGGTCGTCTCTTCAAGAGAAGACATGTATGGCGGGATTTCAAATATCCCGCCTGATCGTCTCTTCAAGAGATGTTAATATTATTCTAAGCAAAAACAAAACTATTATTATATATACATAAGACAACGTTTTAAAATTAAATGTATATTGTGGTGCAGTGGATAAGAGGCCACCTTATAAATTGAAGGGCGTGGTTTTGAGTGGTAATATTGGAGATTTTTTTTACTGTTTTGGTAATATTATTTTATTAATAAGAATTCAGAAAATAATAATAATAATAATATTACCAAAACGAAAAAAAACTAAAGTATCAACACTTAGAACGCATGACCTTTAACTTAAAAAGTCTCTTAGCCACTGTACACAGTATACATTTTATTTTAAAACGTTGTGTTATATATATATAATAATTGTTTTGTTTTTGCTGACAAGCATTATTTTTGGAAATAGTTTGGGGGTGACATATTTTCGTAATTACTTTTGAAAATAGGATTATTAAAAAAAAAATCCAAAAAAAAAGTGGTCACTTGGTTTTCATTATATCAAGTGATGTCTTGACTTTTAATTTTTTCAACCATTCAAAATATCCAACACGCAAGTCTTGAGTTCGTTGGTCGACTCGAACTCACCCTTAATCAAATACACAACTTGTAACAAATCGGATTCTACAACGAAGTTTTCGAGATCTAATTTAATGACTAATAATAGCAAGATGTGTCGATCCTCTTTAATTATAAGAATTTCAACAGCTAGAAATACAAGACTTGATAGTAGTAGACCGGCAATGTCCATTCATTTTTTAAACAGCTAGTTTAGAGAACATTAAATATATTTTCTTTAAAAAAAAAAAAAAACCTAATGAAGAGAGCCAGTAACAAGTCGTCTAGGCTACATTTTGAGAAACATCAAGTTTATTTTCACTCTTAAAAGCTAAAGGGGAAAATCAGCCCATCACAAAACAAGGGGAGTTTAAATTTTTAATATATACTTATTTAAATTCAATTAAAAAAAATCTAATAATTGTAAACTCTTAGCGAAAATTTACTCCAACTTCAATTAAAGAAAAAGGAAATTTACTTTTCAGACCAACTTTTTGTCAAGAGTTAGGAATTTCAGATCTCATCAAGGACTTTTTATTCAGAAAAATTTAATAACAATAAATAATAAAATCAGTTTCCAAAACCAAAAAGAAAAAGGAAGAAAATTCTTTATTCCACGTAAGCGTAGCCGAGTGGAACACGGCAGCACCAGTCAACAGTTGACCAGTCTTCTTCCATCTTCCTTATTTAAAGCAAATCCACGTAAGCACGGCCAAGTGGACCAAAATTGACCAGCCTTCATCTATCTTCCTTATTTAAAGCAGATGGAAGCTCAGCCCCACAACGGCCATGGCTTCCAATAACTTAATCTTCTTCCTCTTGCCCTCTCTCGCTCTCCTGCAAATGGTTTCCGCCGTTGAGTACACTATCACCGGCAACGCCGGCGGCACTCCCGGCGGCGTTCGCTTCAACAACGAAATCGGAGCGATTTACAGCCGGCAGACGCTGGAAGCCGCCACTAATTTTATCTGGAACATTTTCAGGCAAAGCACCGCCGCCGACCGGAAGAACGTGCAGACGGTCACCCTGTTCATCGACAGAGACTACAACGGAGTGGCGTTCGCTGACAACAATCAGATTCACATCAGCGCAAGCTATATCGCCGGCTACGGCGGCGATTTGAAGAGGGAGATAACAGGTGATAAAACTACCGCTAAATCTTTAAAAAATTTAAATTGGAGTTCCAAAAATTATATTTATATGTTTAATCTTATTTTAGTAAGGAAAATACTTAAGTGGTGCTGACTTGGGAATTGTGCAGAGATAGGCCACTAAATATTTTTCTCTGGTTGGAAATAAATGAGGGAAAATGGACAAAATAATTTTGTGAGGTCTTAATCGTCCTTCTCAAAACACAAGTTTTCTTGTCACTGCTGACATCATAAAGTTTTCACAAATGAGCTCTCATGCCCCTCCTTGTTTTTTTTTCTCTTCCAGACTCCATCTCTCTTCTCTCTCCTCCACTAATATTTTAGACTTCCCTCCTTATTTCCTTTCTCTACCTTCATCTCCCTCGGATGCATCAAAGCCGACGAAGAGGTCGTTCACCGAAGAAAGAAGATCAGTCGAAGAGGAATGGGAGAGCGAGGTTGAGCGAGGGGGAGCGAGGTTGAGCGAGGGGGAGCGAGAGAGAGCGAGGTTGAGCGAGGAATGAAAGATGGGAAAGCAAAATTGGGGGATTTGAAAAGCAAAATTGGGGGATTTGAAATTCAATTATATTAAAACTATTGAGGGATTTAAGGAGATTGACGAGAGATTTCGGGAAACAATTTGAATTAATATTGAGATTCCGTTTTTTGTCAAAATTAATTTGATTTGATAAACATTAATTCAAAATTAATTTTTAGATACTGTAAAAAAAACAATCTCATTAAAAATATTATTTTTAGATTCCCTCGATCTCTCTCTCGCTCACCCTCGATCTCTCTCTCTCGCTCACCCTCGCTCTCTCTCTTTATCTCCTCCCCCATTCCTCTTCCACTGAGCTTCTTTCTTCGGCAAATGACTTCCTTCGTCGGCTTTGATGCAACCGTCGTCAACGAAGTCACGGGAACCATGGAGGCTGCTGGTTTTAAAAAAAAAGCTCAAAGATTTAGGGGTTTTTTTATTTAAAAGTAAATTGCTTTTTGTGGTCGGTAAAGAAGAAAGGAAATAATAGTAATTAGAAAAAATACAGAAATATGGAAGAAGGAAAAGAGAAACTCCAAGAAAATTTTAGAGAGAATGAGAAAAAAAACTTTGTTGAAGAGGAAAAGAGAATGATGAAAAACGATAAGAAAAAAAAATCTCGAAAAAGGAGGGAAGTCTAAAATATTAGTGGAGGGTAGTGAGGRTCATTTGGTGTGAAGGTGATGTCAGCAAATGCCTATAAAACTTTATGTTTTGAAAAGGATGATTAAAAAACTTAAAAAACCCTTGTAGAATGTTTGTTTTGTCCATTTTCCCAATAAATTAAAACACATGACTCAAGAGGTTGTAGATCTATTTTTCTTATCCTAAGACAGTGAAACAAAAATAAGCGGAAGCTCACCTGAATTTATAATAAAAATAAATTTATAGAATTGAATTTTCCAAGTTAAGATAACTCACTGACTTATTGAGTTTTCTCAATTCTATTCAAATAGAAGAAAGAGTAGAGAGTCGTTTCTCTTCCAAAGATGGAGTGAAACCACTAATCGATTACATAGTTTTGATATTTTCAGTTTAACCCCTCATTAAATTGGAAATTATTTTATAGTATTTATACATTTTACTCGGGATCATTTTATAATTATTCAATTAAACCAAAACTTACATAATTAGATCACTTATCTTGATGTAATTAAATAGCAAAAATACATCAAATGCTTACATGTGTGACTCCACGTTATTAGAAATTCCAACATCTTTTCGATTTTAATTTACTTTTTCATCATTTTTGGTAATATGTTATCTTAATTGTGTATTAATTTTTCTGTCGCAAGATATCGTGTTAAATAAGAGAACTAACAAAAGTTTATACTAGGTATGTATTGGTCTACTTTCTCTCCTTACAATATTTTGCGTGTGCAGGAATACTGTATCACGAAATGACCCATGTGTGGCAGTGGAACGGAAACCCATCGGCGCCGGGGTGGGTGATCGAAGGGATCGCCGATTACGTACGGCTGAAGTCAGGGTATATTCCGGGGCACTGGGTGAGGCCCGGCGGCGGGAGAAGTTGGGAAGAAGGGTACGACAAGACGGCGAGGTTTTTTGAGTATTTGGATGGGCGGAGGAGTGGGTTCGTGGCGGAGCTGAACCGGAGGCTTAGAACCGGCTACTCTCCCGATTACTTTGTGCAGCTGCTGGGGAAGCCGGTGAATCAACTGTGGGCGGAATACAAGGCGGCATTTGGAAATCCAAAATAATTACCATCGACTCTTGTTCAATTTTAATATTTATAATTAAGGAATAAGATCCACATAATTAGTTATTGCTTATTTCAATATTATATATTTTTGTGTGCAATGGTTTTGAAATATAAATGAAAATAAAAACTGGGTGTTGTGTTGGCCCTACCCGAAGGTTTTTTTTTTTTTTTTTAGAAAATATTTTTTTGATTCTAAGTTATAGATTTGATTTTGAAAATAATAGGCTTTTTGCTGTTTTATTTGGATGCTCTAACGTCTGCTTCAACCATTTTTTTCTCTGAGTTTAGCTCTCATTCGCATTCGTAGGGTGAAGAACGTATGCTTTGCCTAGCTCATTTATTTTTTCTCTGCAAGATCATTCATAGTCTCGAATTTCCTACATTTGAGGTAAAAATACAATTTAAGTGCTGACCGGCCGGGTCAATACCTATTAATAAAAAGTTAAATTAAAAAATCTTTGCATGCCGTGGGGGAGAGGTAATAGGGCTGAGAAGTTTGGAGGGAAAGAGGAGGCGTTCCCTTTCAAATTTGAATGAAGAGGGAAGGATGAGGAAAGAAGGGTGTTGTTGTTACTAGAGTTTGAACCATTGTTGTGAGTTTTCTTGTTTGTGCACATGTCAACATAATCAGAGAGTTGGCAACATATAGTGTCTACCAAATATTATTATAAGGCTCAAAGTCAATTTGTGACGTTTGAGGAGGAGGATAATACTGAGTAATTTGATACTCCATCAAAGTCAGAGGGATCCTTATACTAAGCAAATATGTTAAGAAAATGCTAAAAATAATTGGTAGTCACTGTTACTCGTACCAATAAGTTGCATTGTCTCTCATTTTTTGTGACCTATTTTTAATAATTTAACTTAATAAAAATAAATTAACTACCAATTATTTATTTAAAATTATCTAAGATAAATTAATGGTTGAGAGTTGATTTTGATTAATTTTAAAACAAATCTGACATCATTCTCTTCGACAATAAGTCATTTATTCCCATAAAATTTAACATTTCCCTACACAACAAATGATTCCCAGACATCTTATTCCCATACAACTTAATCCCAAACTCAACCAAACGGCCCCTCAATCTCACTATTATTGAGCTTTACTGGATCTAGGAACCGCTTCGTTCCTCTTGAACCCACTTGAGTCACTTTGTTGGTTTGTTCATAATCTAGATTTTAAATGTTGGTATCGATGAAAATGTCGAAGTCTCACTTTTATGAAAATATTAATAGAAATATTGATAAAATATCGATGTTAAAGAGATATTTTTGAAATTTTTATAAAATAAAAAATTCATAATAAATATTTAAATTAACAAATAATTATTTCACACTTTTTAAATAAGTTAAAAATTTTAAATATCAATTTATGTCCATACTAGTGATATTATGTTGATATTTTTTATATTTTGACAACTTTTTTGCGATAGTATAAACATGTTTGATTCACCTCTCATGCTGATACTAAACCCATAGATGTATAAAAATGTCGAATATCGATAGAAATTTAATATCGTGCTTGTCACATTGTCAATACCAAATTGAACTTAGACCATATTTACTTCTAGCGTATAGGAATCAAGGAATGAGAATGAATTTTTCAAATTGTGGGACCCACGTCAAATTTGGGAATCCTTGACTATCTTATTCTCATTGTTTATTTCGTATGTCCCACATGTTTATTAGAGTTGTTTTACTACTTTTGTCATTTCTCTCTCTTTATTGAAGACTTATGACTTGTTATTAATTATTTATTTTTCATTTATACTACTAATATTTTTTTCTAATAAAAAAATTATACAACTTTTATTGATTGATATGATTTTATTATAAAATATTATAAAGTTATATTAAATTAAAATTTTTTATACTTTCTTAATATTAATAGATTTTAAAAAAATAGAATTTACTAATATTGAATATTAGAATAATAATATTTTATATTAAATTCTAATAAAAAATATTTTAGTCGATGTAATTTTATTTTAATTATTTATTATTATTAATATTAGATAAATTGTTATAATAAAAAATATTTACTATAAATCATATAGTAATAAAATAAAATAAAATATATTGTTATTGTTTAAAAAAATTAACACAATAATATATTTATAATTAATTAGGAAGAAGAAAGAGGTGTACTAGTAATTGTGATTCTGATTCCGATTCGAGACAGTTTTAGTAAATAACATCAAAAAAATTCTAATTCCGATTCCAAAAATTTTTTGGTAAACAACATCAAAGAATAGCATTTTCGGTCCAATTGATTTCATTCATTTTTTATTCTGGTTTATTCCCGTTCTGATTCCTGGTAAGTAAACCTGGTTTATAATTTATTCTTTTTTAAATTTCTCCCACGATAAGAGTTATAATGGTAAAAAAAAAAAAAAATTTGATCTATTTTCATCACCCAACTCTAAAAATATCTATTTCAATCATAAAATTTATAATAAATAAATAATCATAATTTTGTCATAAATAGATAGTGTGGCTTCAAATATATATAAAAACATACTGACATGAGTATATATATTAGAAAATAAAAGTTTCCCTACCTAATTTCATTTATTGTTTATCCTATCAACAATAATATTTATCATATTCCATACTAGACTAGTGTGGATCAATAAAATAAATAATATATTATTTTATGATGCGACTGGAAGAAGTGAGTACTACATTTTCCATTAAAGAGTTCTCTATTCTTTTTCTAAAACTTACAGATTTCTCTATGTTGGAGTCACATATATTGGGTATTGAGTGGTTGAGACAATAATAGCAACGACAAGAGTTATTGATTTATTAAAGTTAAGGGACCAAAATAATTATTTTTAAAGTTCAATAACTAACATAAACCTTTGTACCGAAATGATATTTAAGCATAATTTTAATAAATGATGATTATGAATTTTTTAACTCGTTGACTATCGTAAATAATGACAATTTTATAAATATTTATTCAATTCAAATGTGAAATACAAAATAGAATTTTCTTTAGTTGCATTGAATAGAAGTAAACATATCACGCAAATTGAATTTCTACGATTATAAGGATATAAGGATAGACAAGTAAAGGAACATGTTTGTCAAAGCGAGCATAACTCAACGGTAATTGGTATATACTTCTAGATTGTGAGTTTGAATCCTCTCTCTAATATGTTGTACTAAAGAAAACATACTTACTAATAACCAATACATTGACATAACGTAGTACAAATTTACTAGACCATCTAAAGATGGACAAGTAAAAAAGAAATGATATAAAATGTTTTTAATCTATTAGCACCAGAATTTTTTGGTTTGTCCTCCCTTATTTTATATATTTGATCTGCTTCCTTTGTATCATGTGAATATTTAACCAACAATATTTACAATAAAATTTTATTGAATTAAAGTTAAACGTTGAAAAGACATAATTAAAACTTTTAAACTTTTAAAGTTTAAAAACTTAATAAACACGCAAAATAAATTTGTAAATTTATATAGTATATTACCTAATATTTTAATTTCAATTTCAAAGTAATTTTAGTTTTAGTAAATATGTTTAAGATATTTGATTCCAAATGGTTTTTCATTTTCTTTCCGATTCTTTTCCAACCTTTTCTTTTCCATTTTTTTTTATCTTTTATATTTTATAGTCTCATTAAACAATTTTGGACCTTAAAATAAAAAATATCATGACTCGGTAAATAAAAAATCTGATGACTTAAAACAATCAATCAATCCAACTCAACCTATACGATTTAGGTTGGATCAAGTTCTCTATAGGTTGATTTGTTTAAGAATTCACCTGAAATAAGTTTGGATTGACGGAAGCAAACCTAACTTACTATTCATTTTAAACATATTTATTTTACTTATCATGAAATTACATAGGAATATATTTATTTAGTGATGAATTATTTGATATAAAAAATATGTAAATAAATGTTTAAAATATTAACATTTATTTATTTTTGTTATAATGTGATTTAAAACCATACTTAATAGAGATTATTTGAGTTTAATAAATTCACAGTTCGGACCATTGTATTGGATCTGAAAAAAATACCTCAACACGACCTAGAAACAACCCTATCTCCACATATTAAAACGACGTAGTTTGGGTTTCTACAATTTTTACCATGGGGGCCCAGTAATAACTTTCACTTTTGTCTCTTTTTACTCTGTGAAACCCTCGAGAGGTTTGTCTCTACTAAACCGTCGCCGTCGCCGTCGCCGACTTGAGGTAACTCAGCCCCTTCAATTCAAATCGCTTACGCTTCGGTCCTTCCCTCCAGTTCTTCAATCATCCGTCGGTCCTTGCTTTTCGAAGATTAGTGCGACGGATTCAAAAGATTTTTACTCTTGTTTTCTCACTTAGGAATTAGGATCGGGTCCACAATCCTGTGCATGTGAATGAAGTTCAAAGCTAATATCAATATTATGCTTCGATTACTGTTCTCGCTTTAGTAGAATTAGAATATAGGGTTTAGATTCATTTGATTTCTCTAATTACATATTTATATAACATATGACGACTTTAATTGATATTTAAATCTTCTTGTGTTCTTGAAGTTATCGACTGGAATATAATACTTTCACGTTGTTATGTAATCGTAATCCTATTGTTCCGTAGAATTTCCATCGATACCCACTACATGGTAACTAAGTCGAGGAGGGTCACTTTTTTGTTTATTGGAAAACATGTTTACTATTTTAATATTTTTCTAGGCTTTCCCATATATATGTCTACTGGGCTGCTCTATTAGCATTCCTTATCTCTGTTATGTCTTTTTTTCTTTTTTTTTTTTGTTTAAATCTACTGTAGTGCATACTTAATTATGAATATTGAACTCCTCTTTATTGATGCTATTGAGTCTAATTTCTAATTTTTGGTTTAGGTGTAAAAACTGCGAAAGTTAGTTTTTAATCTAGCCTTTATGATCTTACTCTTGAAGAATAGAACAAATAGAAAGATGAAGATTTCTCAAACGAATTTTCGTGCACAATGCCTTCTGGACCAGATTGATTTTCACTTCTAGTCAAAAGTATGCATGCATTGTTATTTAATCATAAAAGTCATTATGGATTGCAATGATACTGTGTTTTCCCTAATTAGTTTCTTTTTTTTTTTGGTTAGATTTGTCATCATGGATAAATCATGGATGGGAAAGAGTAGATTATCTAAGGAGTATGACTTGGGTGTTGAAATGTTTATTAAATTTGGAGAATTACATGCAAATGGGTCAAATTCCATTAGATGTCCGTGTTTGAAATGTGTAAATTGTGTATATCGTAGTAGTCAAGACATTAGAGACCACTTATATATACATGGTATTGATCAAAGTTATAAGAAGTGGTTTTGGCATGGTGAAGAGCTTTCAAATAAGTTTAAAGATGAAGAAGTAGGTGACAACATGGACGAACCACTCGACAAAGAGAATGAAGACAATGTTATGGATAAATCATGGATGGGAAAAAGCAGATTATCTAAGGAGTATGACTTGGGTGTTGAAATGTTTATTAAATTTGGAGAACGTCATGCCAAGGGATCAACTTTCATTAGATGTCCATGTTTGAAATGCGGAAATCGTGTACCTCGAAGTAGCAGGGACATTAGAGACCACTTATATATTCATGGTATTGATCAAAGTTATAAGACATGGTTTTGGCACGGTGAAGAACTTTCAGATGAACTTGAAGGCAAAGAAGTAGGTGAAAACATGGACAACTCATTGGAGGAAGAGAGCGAAGGCGATGAGTTGGATAATATAACCAAAATGGTTAAAGCAGCTCATGCTACAAATCCTCTCATGAGTGGTTGCAATCAAAATACTCCTAAAACATCTTATATGAAGTTAGATTGCAACAAGAAGAGAGTGCGTGGTCCAACTACTATGCGCGAGATTACTCGATGTAGTAGCCAAGGAGATAGAAAGGTAGTAGAGTATAACGACTATGGACAACCAATAGGTGTTAATGGAGCAAAACTGAAGAGTTACATTGGCTCTTGTGTCCATTATCATGTCCCAATTACGTATTCTACTTGGAAACGTGTACCTAACGGGACGAAGGAGAAGATTTTTAAGTTGATTCAGGTATAATCCATTTAACTTCTGTCTTTTCTTTCTTAATTTTCTCAAGCTGAGGGCAAATGCTACATCATCTTTCATATCTGCAGGCTGGTTWTGTCATTGATGCAGGATCAAAAAAATCCATCTTACAAGCTGCTGGCAATTCATTCCGGCAGTTTAAAAGTCGGTTGACGACTCATTTTATCATTCCTTTCAAAGATCAGCCACATCGTCTGGAAAATCCTCCAGATACTTATTCGCACATTGAGAGTCATCATTGGCGACAATTTGTCAAATCTCGCTTGAGTGAAGAATTCGAGGTATGAATTTACGTGATGTTTTTAATTGATGGACTTCCTAATAACTCTTTCAGTGACATTATTGTTTTGAAGAATATGAGGACATTACAAGTACAAAGACGTGCAAAAAACAAGTATAATCACCGACTATCAAGAAAAGGTTATGCTAACTTAATTGAAGAATTGGTAAGATTGTCTCTCTTGCGTGTAATTGTTCATATATGTGTGTGAAAGAGACAGATTCTTAACTATTTTTGAACTACTCGAGTGTAGAAAAAGTCATCTTGTAGTAAAAAAGCTGCTCGAATGAACAAAAAAAGAAGAGAGATGGAGAACAGAGACACGGAAGAGGTAGTTTCTTCACACAGTAAGTTATTGATTTTTGTTAAGCATTACAATATCTCAAACAATAATTTGCAATGTTTCATGTATTATATTTTAGGATGAGTCCTTGAAGGATGTCGATATTAAGCGTAAGGTGACCATGAACAAGAATCCTAGTTGTGATTATGTCTCGACCCGTCGAGCATCGGGTAGATCGGAATCCTCTGATCGAGTGAAGGGAGAAGGAGGTTTGAGCAAACCTAGTGCAGGCTTTCACACTACAAAACTCGCCCCTAAACGAGAGAGAACGCAAGAGAAGGAAGATGAGGAGGAGATAAAGATGTTGTATCGACGAATTAAGGAGTTGGAAGAGCAAATACGGCTAAAGCAAATCCCTCCCATTTCTGAGCATGGCAGTTGTGATGAACAACATTCAGATGAAGAGATATTAGGACCTGCTAATAATTGGAACTTCAAAAAGGTGATACGTTGATCTTTTCTAATTTGTATTTTTTCAATAATTTACATTGTCCTTAGAATTATTATTATTTTCCATTTTTCTATATGTAGGAGAATTGAAATGTTTCAGATCACGGAAGGATACTGTACAGGCTACGTTAAAGTACTATTTGGGAGACTTTTGAAGGCAAGTACCTTAATTTAAGAATTGAAGGGAGTTTTGATCATCTTAATGCATTTTTTTGTAGTTTTATCGTCTAAAATGTTTTGTAATCATCCTTGATTCTCAACGATTGGAGCAATCTCTCCTGATTTTGTCTTTGTTTTTGTTTATTTTGGATTGCTCCTCTGTCTTGGCCGGTTTATTTTGTAGACTCCCCTTTTGTACTTCCATTAAGATATGAAAGTTGGTTTATGGTCAAATAGCATTTACAATTACAGTTAATTAGGCTCGTTTCGTATTGTTTCTGATTCGTTTTCGAAATTGCGTAGAGATTTTGGAAATAATAAGGCCTAGTGGTCAATAAGAACCCATGTAAAATCCCGGATTGGATAAAGTTGTTTTTCGACGATGCCATTCTTATAAGCTTCAACTCAAGGAAATTCTTCCTAATTTCTAGAAAATAAATAACGGGTCATGAAAAATAAGAATATATATTTTTGTATAGATCAAATCATAGCACATAATTTTTACAGTGATATTTATTTAATCCATTAATACACGTGTTGATTAAACTAATAAGCTAATGATATGATATGACAATAAGTGGCAAAAAGTCTAAATTAAACTAAAAGTGTGTAAAATATATTTTAATTAAATGGATTTTTTTTTCGTTGTGCCACTCACTTGTTGTCACACAGAGTTAGATCATTTATTTTTAGTTCAATAAAAAAGTATTGAGTTAACATTTAAATAATGAAATTAACAACAAGATTTATTATAATCAAATGTAAATTTACGGATTTAATTAAAACTTTGAAAGTTTAGTGTTTAAATAAGCACAACTATAAAAGTTAGTCAACAGACTGAATTTATAATGTAGCCACTCAAGAGCGTGGTAAGAGTTTACTTTTAAACAAACCCTTTATATAAAACTATTCTATGGAAAAGAATCAAACCATTGAGTAGTGGTTTAACCTTTAAAAGAGACCATCGGAGAGAGAAATGAAATTAAAGGTTCTAAATATTATTTCGGTACTTGTATTTTTTTATTTTATTTTATTTTAGTTCTTACTTTTTAAATTTTATTTTTTTGTTTATTTTAGTTTTGATATTTTAGAAAAACGTTCATTTTTTGTCTCTATACTTTTAAAAGGTGATAATTTTATTTAACCTTTAATACAAATTTTAAACAATACCCTTTAATACGAATAATTTATGATTATTTTTCAAGAAATTTATTGAACAAAGTGGTGCCGAAGCTGCTACAATATTGCTTCAGTGGGTATTGGAAATGTGTTCAGTTCTTTGATCCATTATGTAGTGCGAAATCCATTATTGGCTAAACAATCATTTGATTATGTCATTTTGGAACCGGTGAACAACACGTGGGGCAGAGGGGAGCTTAACCTGAGTCTCGATTAAGAACGGCGATGATCTACGTTTCGCACGACATATGATTCCATGGATAGTTTCATTCGAGATCGTGATGGTGCCATGTTAAAATGAAACAATCAACTTCTTAAAGTACAATGATCAAAATAGAAATTTTGAAAGTAACCAAATTAGAAGTACGTGCATACAAATTAAAATAGATACAAAGTCTAAAATGTACCAAAAGTACTAAAAGCACATAGATCAAAATAGTACTTAAACGACGTATAACTGCTAATTAAGACTAAGCGAGGTGTGAGAGTGTAATGGCTGCATAGCGATTGGCAAGAATGGAATTAGCAGCTTGAGAAGGATGAACAGCATCCCAGAAGATGAACTTGGATGCATCAGTGCATGTGGGAGTAACAGCACTGCACATTGGACCCATCTCCACTAGCCCACTTCCACAGCACCCTCTACTTTTCTCCTCAAAACCTTCAATTCCACACATAACACAAACCAAAAACACACTCTAAATTTTCATATCATAAGGAGAATGTATATATATGTAAGCAAAAAATTCAACTTTTTCGTTAAAAAAAATCGATTTCTCAGACCTCGTCAAACTTTCATACTTGTTTCATTTCTTTTCTAGTGTAATTTTGTAGATGCATGTTATGTATGTTTTGATCACTAAGCATTATGTAAAATAATTGGTTTTGATTTGTCATTTCAAGTGTATTTTAATGCAAATCTTATGTGAGGTCGACCTTCACTTTGGGTTTAAAGAGGATGTATTTATTTATTTATATTTTACATTCAATCTTCACTATTGGGCTAAAATATTTATGACAAAAATCTAATTAAAAGGATTATCATTTATCAATATTATTTGGGAGGAAATAATATTTTAGGGTTTGAACATATATAAACCTTGGTGCTTTTAAATACCACATTAAATCATTACTAGATTCAAAACCTTAAACATATAATAATTCATGTATTTATCTATAATTATTTGATATTTAAAAATAGAGATTTAAGTCAACATTAATCAACTAATACTCTTTCCCTATATAATAACAAATTAAAAACTTATTTTTTTTCTTTTCCAGTTTTAAGCCTAGGTAGTTAACGCTCTCGTGTGTGATAGGTAGATAGATATAATTTCTACATATATAATTAACACAAAGATAGAGTTAACTAAGGTCTCGTTTGATAACTATTTCATTTTTAATTAATTTTCCGAGTTTAAAAATTATGCCTGGTTGGCTCACAATTTCTTCGGTACGTATTAATCTTGTGATTAGAAAGACCTGTTTCTTTCTTAGCCAAATTTTAGAAACAAAAACAAGTTTTCGAAAACTACTTTTTTGATCCACTTTCAAATTTCAGCTTATATTTTAAAAATATTTTTTCGATTTAAAACCATAGAAATAAGACATAGATTTACACAGGCTTAACAGAAACTAAAAACAAAATAGGGACCGTAAAAGGCGAAGATTCCTGACCATATTTAGAAGGGTTGGCAAGCATGTCCATGAGAGGGCCATAAATATCAAGATAGGCCACTTTGGCTCCCACCAAGTTTGCTTGAAGGTTAGAGGAGAGGGCTTTGAGGCCATTGTTGTAAGCTTGGCAGTGATGGTTCTGTCTGTTGTTGCAGTGGCGGTGCAGCATATGGTGATCAGTATTTGGGATCAAGCTTTCCATTGTCACCTGCAATGGCAGACACCCCATTGGTGGAACTCCCACCACCATTATCCTTCTTGCTCCTTTGCTGTAAAGCCTCTGCAATATATGCCATTTTAATTTGTTTTCACAGCTTCACAATTTTATCTTATACCTTGTTATATATAAAGAAACAAACAAACTAAAATGTTGTGTCTATATCTATATAATGTTAGATTTTTGTTAAATGGTTTGCAAAATTAACATGCAGCCATAGTAGTTGCATGCAAAGGCAAATTGCCAAAGCGGCACCTACCCTATGCTCCAATAAATATAAACCTGTTGATAATTGATATATATTTTCACATTTTAAAAATATCTTGAGTATTCTTTTTTTTCTTTCTATAATTTGTAAATAATATTCTCTTATTGTTTTATTAGGTGCGCAAATTAATGAGAATAATTAAAACATTCTTTTTATGCAAAGTTCATATAATAGAACAAAATATCAACACTTGAATAACAAAAAAAATAAAATAAAAATACAACATACCTGTCATAATAAAGTTTAGAAAGTAAAATAGAATTTAAACTTTGATTTTGTTTGTTCTTCGTCGAGTTAATTAGGTTGTGTATTGTACAACATATATATAAAAGCTAGTTAGGTACGTAGTTGAATGTATATCAATTTTGTTAGTCTATGATATTAATTATGTTACCAAAATCGTCAACATAAGCTTAGTATAGCTTACTCCTTCTCTAAAGGTCGGATGAAATGACATACAGTATATAAAAAAAATAAAAATTGTGTTACGAAATCACATGAAATAAAGATACTAAATAAATGGTGAAGTTGGTTTTCTAAATATATATATATATATATATATATATATGTGGTGAAGTTTGTGGGTGGGAGGGTATTTTGACCTTTTTGACATAGTTAAAATTGCCTCCCCTTTTCTTTCATCATATTAAATAAAAAAAAATTGATTTTATAAAAGTTTAAAATCACTCCAAATTTATTTTGAAAAATTAATTATACTCAAATCTATTTTTTCAAAATCACTCTCAAACACACTCTTCTTAATTTGAGTTGTTTTTTAGTTCAATTAGGAGAAAGGTCGAAAATCGATCCCACCAGCTTTTGGGATAGTAACAAAGTTCTTCACATCCAATATTTATATCCATCAAATTGACTTTGATCTTAAATGAATTTTAGGTTAGAATTAGTACGTGTTCGAATGTCAACTCTCTCATAATCTTTAATACATCTACATGCTAATACTCGTTATGAAATAGGTTAAATTATAAATTTGAACAAATCCATCAACTTTATGTTGTTGGGTAAATTTGATGAGTTAAAATTATAGGTGCAATTTTGAGAATTAAATTACCATAAACTCCTCATTTAAGTCATCAAATATTATCAAACTAAAAAGGTTAAAGGGCATAAACAATTTACATATATTGAAAATGCAATTTAGCCCTAAAAATGAACCAAATATATGTAGAGGTTTGAGAATTTGAGAGACAAAAACCTGAACGACGGATTCAAGGTTGTGGAGCAAGAAATGAAGGTATTGAGAAACCGAAAACTGAAGCATCCTCTTCGGCAACAAATAAATATTATACAACAAATCGTTGCTCCCCGCGCTGATGAGGAACAAGCCGTTCTTCACGATCTCGCCGCCCTTTCTTTCTCCGGCCACCTTCCGTATTCTCGCCGTCGCTTCGTCGAAGTAATCCAACTGACTCCAAATGTCAAGAGCGTTCGAGAAATTCGCGGTCAGTTCGTCCAGCCCGGATCCGGCGGACCCGAAGCTGGCTCCGCCAAGCAACTCGCCGTCGGACAGCGTCGGGTCCAAGTACGCCGGCAGGAGGTCGTTGATCCCGAGGGCCGAGGCTAAGTAGTCGGTGGCTAATTTCCCGTCGGAGAATCTGCCGGAGGCGGCGTGCTCCGGCAGGGCTCGGCCGTACGGCAGGTGGTCGGCGCGGATGAGGGTGACGATGTGGTTGTTGTTTCCTGGATCCACGGTGGAGTCTCCGAAGGCGAAGATTGCCGGAATATGAGGCGCCGGCGCCGGAGGGGATGCGGCTGGCCGGGAGATTATTGGTAGCGGAATTATGAAGCAGCAGAAGAGCGCGAAAACGGCGGCATTTCTGTGCGGCATTGCTCTCTCTCTCTCTCTAGGAAATTCGGGAGGAGAGAGAAGGCCGGAAATTATATTGGGAGTGGTTTTGGTTGAGGAGGAAGACGATCTAAACTAGTTGGAAACTAGAGAGTGTTGATACTTGAAATTATTATACTGTGATCCTTTTATAACATGCTAGAATACACCGGACTTCGTGAAATCTCCCGTTGAAAATAAAATAAACCTATATCCAATTGATTGAGAAATGGTTTAGAAATGAGATTTGGTTAAAATCGATGAGTCAAAAAGAGCATCTTGGAGGGCATGTTAAGGGTGGGTTTGAGACTTACCCGATGAATGTTAATAGAGAAGAAATAAATATCTTATCAGTTTTAACCAAGTTTGGATCGACAATACTAAGTTTATATAGGTAAATCACATATATACAAAATTTGTAATGTATATAAAATTTAGAATTTATAAATCTTATAAAGTTTATCAATAAAATATATATTTTATGTACATCCGCTGGTTAAATTTATTCAAAGAAGTCTTAACTTTAATCTAAACTCAATTTATAGTAACCATACTTGGAGTTAAAAATTAGAGGAGGCAAGAGAGACTAGAGAGGGTATCACTGAGAAAGAAATAAGAGAGGGAGGATTTTCATTTAAACAAAATAATAAAAAAAAGCTATTGATTTCTTAAGTATAAAAAAGTTATTGTTCTCCTATGAGGCTCATTAAGTTGATTTTTTTTTCTTAATTTCTAAGTGAAAATCATTAATATTATAAAATTAATAAAAAAATATTTTTTTAATTAACGAAAAAGCAATGGTATACATATTCAAAATTATTAGTAGTATTATTATTATTTTTCAGAATCAGGTCGGTAATTAGATACCGTGGTAGTTCTGAAAGGAAATTTTCATTTATTCATTTCAGGTTTTTCAAAAAAAAAAAAATCAGTGAATTTTCCATTCAAATTTCAAATAATTGATTTTATCAAAATTAAATTACCAAACACTCTAAAAAAACCAGTTAGATAATTTGCAATATCCAATACTTTTGACTATTTAACAAAATAACCTGTACTCACAACAAAAAAAAACATTTTAATTTAGCTAACCCTTAAAATTATCGCTACTATATAAAATTCAAGGGTGGAATCGTAATTTTTCAAAATTAAAAAGTAAAGGACAAAAGGATAATTTAACCAACATTTTAATTTACGCAGAATCTAAAACTCAAATTTCAAATATCTCGTATGCATTTCCACGTGTCATACTTACAGTATAATAGCAGGAGATTTAATTTGCCGCCTCATTTTAAAAGCTACATTTCCTTCCTCAACACTCTTCGCTTCCACAGGAGACATGAGTTCTGAATCGCCTCGCTCGGCGAATTCCTCCGGCCGAAGATCCAAGCGAATTCTCGACAATTCATCTCCGTCGAATCCTTCCAGTATCGGCGGCAGCAAGAAGAAACGGATCAACCAGAAAACCCTAGGCGTCGCGTGGGGAGCCAATTCCATTTCATCCTCTCGCTCCTCCTCTCGCAAATCCCCCTTTCTAGATTTTGGAAGGTTTTTATGTCTTTTCCTCTTCGTTTTCTCATTTTCTATTGAGTTCGAGTTCGGAAAAGACATGTTAGATTTCAATTTTATTTCTTATCTTGAAAATTGTAGCGAATGTTCTTCGTGAATGTAAGTGAATTTTGGAATCTTGGACGGCCGTGATCCAAGGAATAGAAATAGATGTCTACTATCTGCTCGGTTTATCATTGAATGGCGTTAGCTTCTTAATTGCCGTTGAAAGTTTTCTACGTGATGTGATTTAAAAACTCATATCGTGTCTTTATCGAATTTTATTCCTCGAGTATTTTGCTCCTATGTGAACGCAGTTATATGGTAGAAAAGAATAGGAAACTGCACAATCAGTTTAAAGCAGATGCTTCAAGTTCTTCACTTTGTGGTACGAACTCAGGAAATCAGATATTTCAGGGCGTTTCTATCTTTGTCGACGGTTTCACAATTCCTTCCAGTCAGGTAGTATATCTAGATCTAATAATTTTAAGTTGGGGGCGGTGGATGTGAAATAAAACTACTGAAATGTATAAGTTACAATTTACAATTTTACACTACATTCTATCAGCTTTTTAGCAATTTTAACAATTTCTAAACCTGTTTAAGCTGATATCTTTCTTTGGATAAGGAATCTTCGTGAAGTTAGGTAAAAAAGTGGGAAGTTTAGAACTTTTCCCCCTTTATGTTCTGTCAGTGGATATATTATTTACAATTACAATGCCAATCTTGTAGACTGTTTTGGGACCATTGTTACTGATTACAAGGTAATTTCAGGAATTGCGGGTTTATATGTTAAAGTATGGTGGAAGATTTGAGAATTATTTTTCAAGACGTAGTGTTTCTCATATAATCTGCAGTAATCTACCCGAAAGTAAAATAAAGAATCTCAGGTTTGGTTTAAAATGTATCTTCGTACTAGAAAAATATAGTAGTCTTGTTTTTGATAAAGAATGAAGATGAACTCTTTTGTTGGTAATAATTCAGGTCATTCAGCGGTGGACTCCCAGTTGTAAAACCCACATGGATCTTGGATTCTGTTGCTTCTAATAAGCTATTAAGCTGTAAGTTAAGTCTTTATTTTTTATGTGTACATATATACCATTTAATAAGTGAATAGATCATAGATGTATGAAGCAGAAAGAGCATTATCGCTTGAGGAATACATTAGGAAGTATTTAATGTGAAGTTGTTGTTGGCACTTGGCAGTTTAAACAACATCCAGCTATTACCTTTGTCCCAAAAAGAAAGGGTTTCTCAAAGGAATATGCAAACTTATTTATGCTCTTGATGGCTGATATGGATCTCATTTTGCTGTTTCTAGGGGTCCCTTACCAACTTGATCAGCTTGTAAGTAATCAACCAAGATTATCAGAATTCTTTTCTTTGAAAAAAGGTCCGACATTGGTGAAGCCCGAAATACGCAAGGCTGTTGAAGAGAAATATGGAACAAAGGATCCACTGCCCCTAGTGGCTGCAAAACTAAAGGATACAAATTTGTCTAAGGTGGATGAATCTATAGGATATAGATCAGAGAAGCATGCTGAGGCTGAAATGAATCTTCTAGAGAACGTTGATGCTGAAGTAAAGGAGAAGCCAAGTGATGATATAGGGGCTGCCAAATTAAAGGATACAAATTTATCTGATGTAGACAAATCTTTTGAATGTAAACCACAAATATATGACAGTTTCGAGATGCTTCTTCAAAAGGATGCTGTTGTAGGAGTAAAGGAGACAAGCAATGAAAAAAGAAATCATGTAGAAGAAGAACCAGGAATTGGTGGTGTGGGTCAGAGCAGTGACGGAAATATATCTACTCTTCATGGTTTGTCTACTTCAATTCACAATGGTTGCTCTAATAATGGTCATAGTGATGGATCATCAAGTTCTATTCTGGCCGGGTCTTCTCTGCGACACTCAACTCTTGGGAATCCAGATTTTGTGGAGAACTATTTCAAGGTACTTTTGGTGATGCGAGAGATTTCTCTGCAGACTTTGGGTCTTGATTGATGACATTTGTCTTAAGTTTTAACTACTTTGTTTTCATCTGTGTTTTCGAAATCTTCATATTTATCAATAAAGAGCTACTAAACTAGGTCCGACCAGGTGTCTTAGTGAAAAATCAGATGGAGAAGAAAAACCAAGCTATGTTTCTAGCTTTAGTATTATTTCATTACAGTTTGATGCTTCCCAAAACGAATAGATGATTGGCTTTCGAAAGTTCTTCATGGGTGGATGCTCCATAAAAAGGCTAAATTTATTTGGAAGTGTGCTTCAAGAGCTCTTCAGTGGCACCTTTGTTAGAAAAGGGCACATTGCTTCTTGGGGGTGTATTAATCACAAGAAATTTTTTTTGTAATTACAACCTTTCCTTGTTCATGAATGATTGGAAATAATTTTTTAAGTTTCTTTGGGTGGGGTTGCCTCTACCCCAGCCCTTTGCTTGTAACCTTCTGTTTTCTGATAGTTTATGAAAGGTTCTGAAAGTTTCATATCAAAAACAAAATTACAGTATGATGCCAACTTTTCATTTTTTGCCAATTTCATTGTCTTTCTCTCTCTCTCTCTTCAGATATGCTCAGACTAACTTTGATTTCTTCAATCTGCAGAAGTCAAGGTTGCACTTCATTGGAACTTGGAGAAATCGTTATTACAAGCGTTTTCCACGGTTGCCTCATGGATCCAATTCTATGAGTTCACATTTAAGTGGTTCTTCCCATTCTCAGTTTGCCACAATTATTCATATTGATATGGTAATCTTTGAACAATATGGGTCCTTATAATGTCTGTATGTGGTCTTTTGTTGTCACTACTCATTTTATATGGTTTTCAACTTAATAGAGAATTACTGGTCTGGACTAATGAGTTTATTTCATTCATCATTATATTTTCGTTAGTTCATTATGAAGTATGGTAATATTAGTATGTTTCTACCTCAGGACTGCTTTTTTGTCTCCGTTGTTATCCGAAACATCCCTGAATTCAAGGATAAGCCTGTTGCTGTATGCCATTCAGATAATCCTAAAGGAACTGCAGAAATATCATCTGCAAACTACCCTGCTCGAGCTTATGGTTGGTTTTCTGGTTTTTTACATCTATAAATAAGCTATAGTTCTAAGTCTAAGGTTTTTTAGAGTATCAATTGATTCTTCTCTCTCTCTACCCATGTCTATCAAGGAGTCAGGGCCGGAATGTTTGTTAGAGATGCAAAAACCCTTTGTCCCCATCTTGTTATTTTTGGGTACGACTTCAAATCCTATGAGGAGGTATGTGGTAAGCTGTTTACTGGGTTGTCAAATGTTTTACTTATGGAAGGTGGAAATCATATTTACTTTTTATGTCTTCCATATAATATGGTGTCTTGTTGGCATCTGACATCTTGGGAAATATGCAGGTAGCCGATCAGTTCTATGACATATTGCATAAGCACTGTGACAAAGTGCAGGTCTGTTTAATATAGCATTTTTTAGGCAATTCAATTTGATTTGCTTTGTTAATGTTGTTACTTGTGTCAAATGTAGGCTGTAAGTTGTGATGAAGCATTTCTCGATATATCAGGCTCAGAGAACGTAGATCCTGAAGTTTTGGCTTCAAAAGTAAGAAAGGAAATATTTGATGCTACAGGATGTACTGCAAGTGCTGGAATAGCTACGAATATGCTAATGGCTCGCCTTGCTACTAAAACAGCAAAACCAGATGGTCAATGTTACATTCCTATTGAGAAGGTAGGTTTCAGGAATTCTTGCACTGAACCTTTATTGATCTAGGCACCAAGCCTTACAACAGTATGTTTCCTTACTCGTTAGATATTTTAAAGTCTTAAATGTTTCATCTTGCATTTTTGTCTTATAAACGACTTCACTATGTTTATGTGTACTAGGGGACTGTCCTTTCAGTTGTTACTTGGTAGAGTTATCTGGGATATTATCTTGAAGGTACTTACTGTGAGCTGGTGGTTTATTGGATTTCAGCTCATTCTGTTCTGTTTAAGATAGTGGTTAACAGCTGGAGTATATCCCATACCTTTTCACAATAACTTGATGCCATAAGACTTGGAGAATTAAGGATCGTTGCAAAGAACATCAAATTACCAAATCCTAGACCACCCTCCTCAAATGGTTGTCTTTGATTCCATTGAAGTAAACGTGGCCCACCTTCTTCCTTGACCCTCACACATGAAAAATTCCTCACCATACTTTTCAACTTCTCCTTAATTGATCTTGGAATTTGGAAGTACAACAAAATTTTGCTCAACATAAACTAGATCAAATGGGTCCACATTTGTGGAGAAGAATGTTTTCCTCTTAAGACAAAAGTCAACTTTTAAACTTCTTGACAAGTAGGTCCTAGAGAGAAAAAAATTAAGGGTTATGACGTAAAGGCAAACTGAGATACACAAAAAATAGAGACACAACCTTGCACTGAAATTGGTCAACCCAACTCTTGAGTTTTGCCTCATCATAATTGACTCTTATTGTAGAACACTTTTCCATATTTACTTTAAATCCTCGCACCAAATCAAAAGTGCACAACGTATTAGTTAAGGTAATAAAGGACTCTTCCTCCCTTGAAGAAAAGTTAACAATTAATAGTATTCTCAACGGCCAGTAAGATGGAAGCTACCCTTAGTGCTTTGAGCCTTAATCCCATCACAACTAAAAGTCACTTCTCTAATGCTGATATAGTCGTCCAAGATATCAAACTGATATGCATTATAGTGCTGTATTTCCAATATTATTTTGTTATAAAGTCTTTATATTTACAGATTGATCATAACAAATTTAGTATCAAAGTTAAGTTTGGAAGTTTATTGTCAGAAGTCATAAAAATTTTATATGCTTTTGCATTCCAACCACAATTTTATGTTGATGTATGCAATATTTATTTGGAACCAGTGTTTATTTATTTTTATTATTATTATTTATTTGTTTTAAATCTCTTCAAATTTTAATAATGCATACGCCTTTAATGCAATATTAATATGATGCATTTCGGGAGATTAATTAAGTATTGACATTTTCAAAGAATTTTTAACAAATGATTAAACTGCAGAATTGATGCCTTTACCTCTGCATTGGGCTTTATTTTCTATTTCTTTTGTTTAGATTTCAAGTAAATACTTCCTTGTATTGTCAAGAGGAATGTTGATGAGTTGTTCTTATCACCCACTACATTTTATTTTTCTAGGTTGATGATTATTTAGATGAGCTTCCCATAAAAGATCTTCCTGGAATAGGGCATACCTTAGAGGAGAAGTTGAAGAAAAGAAATGTTTTTACTTGTGGTCAGCTGCGTACTATATCCAAGGTGGTTCATTGATTCTCTTTATGGCATATTCGTTTGTTTGAGTTAGTTGCAACTTTCAAGATGATGTGCCATTGAATACAAAACCCTTGGACTGTGTCAAGTCGTACAAGTAATGTGTCAAGAGACAACATGAAAGATTAAAAAATTGACGTTTCTGTAATAAAAAATGTATATGGTTAAGGTGATCTCTCATAATGACACTTCATTTGTTCTTGACATGTCTAGGACTCTCTTCAAAAAGACTTTGGATTGAAAATAGGGGAGATGTTATGGAATTATAGTCGGGGAGTGGACAATCGTGCAGTTGGGGTGATCCAGGTTTGGCACAGATATGATAAACCTTATATTACATTAGCTTCCACGTATTATTTTATTGATGTGAAGTCCAATTCTCTCTATTCTTTTTTAGATTCCTGGTTGATTTTTCTTTGTTTAAAACACAGTACTAATTATATTCCTGCATTACTTGGTACCAACCCTTTGTAGATATCCCTTAAGTTCTAAGAGGGGATGTTGATGATACTTAAATCATTTGAAATATAGCAAGATTTGTACACTCGATTCCTGAGAGCAAGACTTGATAACTGTCATTATATTTTTACTTCATGATCAAGTCTAGTAAATATCATATCACTTATGTGCTTAGTGGTTTAGATAATAAAATAGACTGCTCAAACTCTTGTGGAGAGTTGAAGGTAGACAAAGCAAACTTATCATTTTGATTTGCATTGTGGAATGATAAAGGGCGTGGGGGGTTTGGGGATTCTCTTAAGGTAATTGGGTTCAAGTTTTTGGTGAAAAATGTAATAATTTGAAACCCTTATTGTCCCTGATGGGCAAACCCTCCCCGGAAATGTAGGGGTGAGCCTGAACCATGAATATAATGAGTGATCCTCCCTGGATATCTCAGTTATTGAGGGAAAAAAAAGTGGATGGGCTAGAGTGCTACTATCGCCTTTATATTTCCACTTAACATTTGCTTCCCAGTTGTGACCTAGTTTTGTTGTCTAGGTTTTCTTAATTTTTTTTTGGTATTTCCACTTTTCATGTTTTCCCTGCTTATGGTTCAGGAAAGCAAATCCATAGGAGCTGAAGTGAACTGGGGTGTTAGGTTCAAGGATTTTAAACATGTGGGTAATATCATGGGTTGCCTAGTTGGCTAGTTCTTACCCATTTTTTTATGAAGAAATACGTACGAATGAGTCTAGAACTAATATGTTAGCTATTGCAGTGTCAATGTTTTCTCTTAAACCTTTGTAAGGAGGTTTCATTACGGTTGCAAGGATGTGGAGTGCAGGGGCGCACCTTTACCCTCAAGGTAGATTCTCTCTTTTATTTACCGAGAAACA